AATCTTTGAGATTGTTTCTTTTGAAAAAATCTTTGAGTTTGTTTCTTTGGAAACAAAATTTTGTCTCTCTTAAGATAGTTTCTTTTGAAACAAAAATCTTTGAGTTTGTTTCTTTGGAAACAAAATTTTGTCTCTTGAAGATAATTTCTTTTGAAAAAAAATCTTTGAATATGTTCTCTTGAGACAGTTTCTCTGAAAAACTAACTTTTGAGTTGTTTCTTTGAAAAACAAATGTTGTCTCTCTTGAGACAGTTTCTAATGAAAAACTAACTTTTGAGATTGTTTCATTTGAAACAAATTTGGTCTCACTTAAGATTGATTCATCTTTGAGTATGAAACAAAATTTTATCTCTTAAAGACATATTTCTTTTGAAAAAAATCTTTGAGTTTGTTTCCTTTGAAACAAAATTTTGTCTCTCGAGACAACTTCTTTTGAAAATACCAACCTTTGGGATCGTTTAGACCATTTATTTTAAAACTACCCACCTTTGAGATTGTTTTTATTAAAACAAATTTTGACTCCCTTGAGGCAGTTTCTCTAGAAATACAAAATCTTTGAGTTTGTTTCAATTGAAATAAAACCATTTTTGAGTCGTTTCACTTGAAACATTTTCTCTTGAAACATTTTCTCTTGAAACATTTTCTCTTAAAACAATATCATCTTTGAGTTTGTTTCTCTGGAAACAATGTTTTATCCCTTAAAACAATTTCTTTTGAAAAAAAAATCATTGAATCTCTTTCTTTGGAAACAAAATTTTGTGTCTCTCGAGACAGTTTCTTTGAGAAAAATCTTCGAGTTTGTTTATTTGGAAAACAAAATTTACCATCTTTGAATTTGTTTCCCTTGAAACAAAACAAACATCTTTGAGATCAATTCCCTTTAAACGAATTTTGTCTCATTTGAGACAGTTTCCCTTTAAACGTCATCTTTGAGTCGTTTCCCTTAAAACGAATTTGGTCTCTTTTGAGACAGTTGCTTTTAAAAATATCATCTTTGAGTTTATTTTTCTTGAAACAAATCTTTGGGTTTGTTTCTTTTGAAACAAATCTTTAATTTGGTTTCTCTTGAAACCATAACTCCTAAAGATGGCCAGCCGTCCTCATCATGTAGGAACCGTGTCATCCCCAGACCAGATCTCTTCATCACGTATGAGCCGTGTCAACCATAGATAACCAGCCGTCCTCATCACGTAGGAACCGTGTTATCACCTTTAGATGGCCAGAACTCTTCATCACGTATGAGCCGTGTCATTCCCCAGACCAGATTTCTTCATCACGTAGGAGCTGTGTCAACTGTAGATAACCAGCCGTCCTCATCACGTAGGAACCGTGTTATCACCTTAAGATGGCCAAGAACTCTTCATCACGTATGAGCAGTGTCAACCCTTGACCAGATTTCCTCATCACGTAGGAACCATGTCACCCTTAGACGACCCGAACTCTTCATCACGTATGAGCAGTGTCGTCCCCAACAACCAACATTATCCAATTTCTAAGTTTAAAAGGGAGAGAACCAGACAAAAACGTGATGTCTTGTCGTCTTTGCCCTATTCTTGTTAACACAAGAATGTGCAAAGAGGGGCAGCTGTAGACACTCGTTTTTGTCCGGGTCTTATTTATATATATTTATTATTATTATTATTATTATTATTATTATTATTATTATATTATTAATATTACATTTTACATATTTTTGCAGGCCAAAGCCCAATACAACAAGGCCCAACCTAGGCTTAACCCGAGCCCATCATATGATAACCCAACAAAATTAGGGTTTCAAAACCCTAAATCATCATCAGTCGCCCCAACAGAGGAAAGAATGCCACGCCGCCGTTACTGTTCCGGCCCACTCCGATGGTCCAGCCGCCGTCCCCACGTCACCACAGTCATCTACAGCAGAACCAATCAAACAGAAAATAAAACATCATCAACAGTGGACCAAATCAACCAAAAAACCAAACCCCAAATTAAAATACCAATAAATCCCTAAATATTCGGGATTTATATCTTACAAAATCAGAGAAAGCCATGGGCTATTCTAGACATCATCATCTCACCAAACGAAAAAAATCAACATGCAAAGCAAGATAAAAGGAAGGAAGCAAAGAGAACAGAGAGGGGGATAACAAAAAAAAGAGAGAGACTATTCGGGTTCAGGGAGAGGAAAAAAAAACCAGAAAAAAAACAAGAAAAAAGAGAACTACTGGAACCAAACAAAAAAATAAAAAAAAAAACAAGAGGGAAATAGAGAGGGAGGAGACCATACCTTGATCGGAGAAGTCATCGAGAAGAGGAAGGGTCACCGGTTTCTTGTTTTCTCAAAAGGTATACCTTAGATTTAAGGGTTTAGGGTCGGTTTTAGGTTAGGTAGGGGTGATTTTCGGGTTGAGGGTAAAGGAGGGGGTCTTTTGAGACTGTTTACTCCCTCCGACCGCCGGGCACTGCCGTACCGGCAGTCATGGGCCTCCGGGATAGCCGCCGGTATGAGGCGGCCCTTCCTTCCCCGATGGGAAGAAGTTGAGAGAGTTTTAAAACTCTCTCACTTCTGTTTTCTTTGGTTGAGCGGCTGAGAGAGGAAGAAAATAATGAGGGATTAGGGTTTAGAACCCTAAATATGGTTTATGACCACACAGTCGAACGACGTCGTTCTATGGGGACCTTATGCGTGTTTTCGGATTGTGGGTTAACTACATGTTTGGTCCCCCATATTTTGTAATCTGTTTGTTTAATCATTAAACGAAATTTCTAATATTCTGTTTCAGACTTGTATTTTACAATATTTGTATTTCAGTCACTAGTTTGTTTACTTTGTCATGTTTATGTATGTTTTACTTTAGTATCAATGTTTTTAGTTATTTTATTTTAGTCACTGGTAGCTTGTGTTGTGTATTTTTGTTGACATTTGAATCTGGTCATATCATTTCTAAATATTTTATTTTAGTCACTGCTTCACTTTTGGTTTAATTATTAGTCGGTCTTAATGTTTTGTTTTAATTCATTTTAGTCCTGTATTATGTCTTTTAAATGTTTATATATCTAGCTGTTAATTTCATGTAGTTTTCATTTTGGTCATCAATTAATGATTTATGTTTATTCTATTTTGGAGTTGATATTTTATACCTTTTCATTTTGATCCCTATTTGATCACTAGTGTGCTTTGGGCAAATACTTTGTTTTGAGCCCTGATATGTGATTTATTTCATTTTAGTCACTAATTTTATATATGGTGTATTTTCTTTGATGTTTTAATTCGGCCATGTCTTTTGTAGGATTTTTATTTTAATCATTGTTGGGCTTTTGGTTTAAGTATAGTTTGATCCTTTATCTTTCTGTTTATCTCATTTTGGTCACTAACAATATTTATGGGCTATTTTCATTTTTAACACCTGTATTATTTAATATGTGCAATTTGAACTATGGTAATTACTTCTTAGCCCTGTTAGTTTATGCTTTTACTAATTTAATCCATTATGTTTATGTATTTCTATTTTAGCCCTATTAATGTATGTTATGTCATTTTGTGGATATTTGACTTTAGACCCAATGTTTGTAATAATTTCGTTTTAGTCTCTGATTTCATATGATAGGTATTTTGGTAGATGTTCGAATTTATCCCTGATATTTGTGAATATTTTATTTCAGTCATTTATGTATGATTTTATTGTACTGGTTATTCGGTTATTTGTATTATGTAAATAATGTTTTTAATTTCATTTAATGTAAATATTTTATTTTGTATTTCCAATTACATTTATTCTCATTATATTTGTATCTATGTATGAAATATTTGATTTTCGATTTTATTTTCAAGAATACATATGCGTAGAATGAGCGTGGAAAGTATCACTTGGTCGAAGTGGTGTGATCCGGTACGGCATTTTAACGACATAGAAACTTGAAATAAGTTGAGTATATTTTGCTAATTAATTTGTTCAAACGATGCAATGTGTGTTATTTTAAGTGACAATTTACTTTATTTTATGTGAATGTAAATTTCAAAATTTTTAATTTGTATTCAATTCACGTTTTTAGTTAATCAATTTATTCGTATGTAAACATTGTTTTTAGTTATATTCGATTTGTATTTTTAACATAATCAATGGTAGAATATTCTTTTACGAATGAGAAATAGTTGAAATAGCTTTCCCGACGGAGGATTGCAAATTTCAAGATTTCTGATTGAGTTAAAGGATTTTCTTTAAATAATTCGAGGCAAATTAAATAAATCTCAATAAATAGATCATAGGTTAATTTTATATTCGATTTATCATTTCCATCATCACGACGATATGTAAGCGATACAGTACCAATTTTGGGCGCTGTGGGGGTGCTAATCCTTCCCCACACGTAACCGACTCCCGAACCCATCAAATCGATTTTCTGGTAAACGTAGACCCCTTTTGTCTTTAAAAATGATTTTTCTTAAAATTATTTTAAAAGACGTTTTTAGGTATTCGACCTGCCTAATCTAAAGGTCGATGGCGACTCTTTTCAATTTTATTCAAATCAATTCAAAATCACCCAATTTTTCCAAAATAAAGTCGTAATCGTTTTTAAAATAATATTTAATTGTTTTACCTAAAAAATGGTTATGACACCTACGAACAACCATTTTCACCATTACGTTTTGTTGGCGGAACATGAGGGAGGATGAATATTATATACAAGTCCCCAAGCTTAAAACCCAGAACAATACTCAAATAGTACACAGATAATACACATGGATTCGGGTATGTATGTATGCGTGTGCGTGTGTGTGTATGTACACATGAAAGCGTGTCAGCTTGATAGGGAAGTCCAGATTACGTGCAACAATATCAATCCAATCCAAAAGGCACATTTGGATGTAATTAGTGAATGGTGCATTCGAGATCAGTCATAACCCAACATGTATATGATCAGGTGGAACCAATTATTATCGACAAATTCAAAAAAGAATGATTAATGTCAATATCTGTGAACCAGAAGAGGAGCATACCATTCCCGAAGCCGGACCCATATTCCAAAGCAGTAAGAAAATCATCGTCAAGAGTCACTTCGTACATGGAGTCGTCGTTTTTATTCTTTTGTTCTTCCGTGCCATCTGTGACTGAAACAGCTTCTGCTTTCTTCTTGTTATGTTGTTTTACTTGCTATTCCAGGCGGGCCCTCTGCCACCATGGAAAACAATTGCAAATTTCTTAGCTCTCAAGTGAGAAACTGAATTGAAAATCACAGTTTATAAGATCATTATAAACATTATCTCGTAAATTGTGCCCCGAGAAGACTCTTCAACCATGCTTTGTACCTTCAAAGCCACTAAATGAGATATAACGTTTTGTCCGAGCTATAAACGAATGAGCATCTGAAGAAGAATAAGTGTACAGACTTCTGTATCATCAACAAATGTATTTTAAAGTCGCAGCTATCTCGAGGCCGACTTTATAAGTTTGATGTCAGGTAATGCAAAAAGTACAACAGCTTCCGCGATGCTGTAAATATTCAAATAATGCAAAAAGTAGGCATCTGTAGCATATTAAAAAAGCATCATTATTACCTGGTCCAAAGGATCAGTTAACTCCGATAATGCATTGGCCAGTTCCCGACCGCATATGAAGAGTTCAAATCTCTCAGTCAAACCTGCATGCCTATATTCCAGAGCACTAAGAGGAAGTAATTCTGAATGTGAAGACATGAATAGATCCACGCATAGAATTGCACCAGTTCCCGGTAAAACTTCCATACCTTCGGTGTGGTTTGGCAAGAGGAGATATCTCAATGGGGTAGTCCAAAACAAATGTAGGTTGCAGGAGCTTCGGTTCAACAGATATTTCGAAAACCTGAAGGTGATAAATAAACCAAAGGCTTATTGCAACTAACGTGAACTATTACTAGAAACAGTCTTAGCAAAATAATCGAAATCAGCATATGGTTCAAAAACTCCCCACCAATGGATAAATGTGCAACGAATTTCCCCGAATTGTTCGACTAGAGAGATGAGAAAGGGTGAAACAGGAATTTCATTTCCTTTTGCGAAATCTATTCAGTTTTTCTTGTACTTTCATTCTTATTCTGCAAATAACTTTCTATAGCAGCATTTTGCAGTAAACTCTATAAGGAACTAGAATTCATGAAATATTAAAGAAGATAGACCTCATTAAGGAGGTTCCCAAGTGAATGGCAGGCTTCAATAGAAGACTTGTCCTTGCTATCGAGCCCAATTCTGATTGCCTTCAGAACATCTTTAGCAACTGTAAGATCATCTTCCAGTTCAGTGAAACCAACCCCGGTGACCTCCTTAACAAGATTGTGCATGGTTTCTCTCCTCCATGGCCGCTGCAATTGTGTCTCAGTCCCCTGTATATAAGGCGTACATTAGTAGTTCCAATGCCTGTTTCAAATAGATTTTACACACACACAATACAACCTAGTTATCTAAAACCTCCAGAAATGAAATCAAACTATTTTTACTGGCCATGAAATGCATTACCTGGTAATCAACGGTGAGCTTTCCATGAACTGCAAGAGCACATTGGGTCACAATTTCCTCAGCCATGTCCATCATAGTCTGATAATCCGAATATGCTTCATACATCAAAAATTAATTAAAAAAGCCGATAATCAGAGCTTCGGAAAACAATTTTAAAACTTGAAATCATATGAAGCATATTTGCACTGCCAAGCACGGAATCAGCATCTGACATTTTTATAAATACCTCTATAGTTGTAAATTCCAGATTCTGACGAGTAGAAATGCCTTCATTTCGGAATATCCGACTAATCTCATATACTTTTTCAAATCCCCCAACCTGTAATTAGGAGACATAAATATTGCTGGCAGTATAAACATAAAGGCCAAACAAATATCAGAATCGGACACTAAGGATAAAATTATAAAAGAAAACGTGGATGGAATGAAGAAATCGGTGTCGTCAAAGGTGCAAGGAAGACTCTAGGTGTTAGATCCCTTATAATCCCAAAGGGACAAGGCCCAAGAAAACAGTTGCCTGAATGAAGGTGCACTATGTATACGTGTATATATTATATGATAAGCTCATGTTTTACAAATATGATAATAAACTTTAAAAAGTAGTCTTCTTATCATTTTGACGCAAAATTTACGTCTTCCTTGCCAATATGCATGATTTCCGTAAGGTTCTATGCCTATTGTTGGACATCAAATATTGCGAAGCAGAGTGTTAGATATTATCCCTCTTCTTACTAATTAGGAACTTCAAAAACTCAGTCTGACCCTAAGGTTTAAATACTTGAAGCTGCAAAGCCTTATTATTATTGATGAATCAGGAGGGAGGGGGACCAAATTTAGCATAGATAATGTAACGAAAATGTTTAGGATCTCACCAGCATTCTCTTCAAGTGAAGTTCAGTTGCAATTCTTAGATAAAGATCCCTTCCTAAGGAGTTATGGTACGTCACAAATGGTCCTGCTTCAGCCCCACCAGCTGCTCCCTGGTTGATTAAATTAATTAGTCAAATTCCCTGAAAACGATACTTGCTTTGGCACCACAAAACAAAGTAAAATATATAAATAAATAAGTAATGCAATAAAAACTATAATCATAGAATTGGGGTACGTAATTTTATTTAACCAAAAAATATGTTACTAGATAATTTTTCAGACCAATTGCAACAGCTCAAGTGACAGCTTTTTCAAGTGCCTTCTAAAATATTTCCTATAGAAATAGAAGAACTCCAAAGCCTCTTAGAGATCTCAGCTCCTCCATAACCCCGAACTTCAACATAACTTTTAAGCTTAATCAGTCGAATTCCTCTCAACCTTACACCTACCGTACTTGGAGCAACATGGTTCCCTAACAAGAAAGAGTGTTCCCTAACATGGTTCCCAATTGACACAAAGCTATGTGGATTTCATCAACTCCTAGAAGAATTCACATTAATTTTGCTTAATAGTCACGAGAAGGCTTTGAAGACGTTAGATGAAGAAGTGATTCAATCAAGATTCAAGAATCAGTAAAACATATACCACAACCAAAAAAGGCTACACCCCAAAAAACTATGAATCTATTCACAAACCTGCAGTACTGGAGTTTCAACTTCAACAAAACGTCGAGATTCTACTGTCTTCCGTATTTCCTTCATGATCTACTATAAGAAAGGTCAATAAGAATACAATTCCAAAGTGTCAAATCTCTAAACCCATAGGCACCAGAAAAACAAGCCATACACTCACATGAACATACATACACGTCAAAGCAATCCATAACTTATAGCCATTTAAACAAGTTCAGACTATTCTAGATAGACAACCGGATGGTCCAAATATTTTTCAACTCAATAATCATTATTAATGGGGGGGAAAAAAGACACGAAAAGTTCAGCAAGTTAATACTTTCCTCCAAACAAGAATCTGTATTTCACTAAAGGAACAGTCATGCTCAATAATTGAAAGAAAAAAATCAGACAAAAATTATACTTGTACAAGCAGCAATATCAAAAAACTAGGCTACAGTAGAAAATTTGTGAAAAAGGTTGAGGTTTGAATAAACATCAATCTATGACACTTACCAACAGTTCATTTGCAGTAAAGATTTAGACATCCAAAAAGCAACAGGTCTCAGTATAGATCTCTGGTCCTTCATTTTACAGTTCGACAAATCAGGCTATTAACAAAATATTACCACCTACAGTCTACTAATTTTATTTTTTTATGAATTTCTTCTCTAAAACCAATGGCTATATGATTTTTCACCATCACAAAGCAAAATTCTACATGGTTTATCAAAAGCAAGAAAAGTATATATTAGAAGAAAAAGGAAAAAAATGCAGCATAATATTTCCTTACTAAGAATATTAACTGATACCATGATGAAGACCAAACATGTATGTATACCAACTGAAATGTAGTTTTATAAAAGATGAAATACTCAATACCCTAGAAGAACAAGCAATTTTTCTCTTTAGTTCGATGAACAACCAAATGGTTATAAGAACAGCCTGATAGTAAGAAAACAAAAGGAGATTTTAACATCATTCCGAAAAGCGGGAATACATCACCATTGCTCGTTTCCGGAATATATCAGCTACTTCAGGATTTGCAATCGTATCAACAGACCTAAACATGGGAAGAGGGAGGAAATATTATCAAACCGGATAAACAATCCAGCAATATAAAAAGAAACGCAAAATATAAGATGTATAAGGGAACAAACAGTTCATAATGTGTTATATCCATAGGAATGAGTGTTTTGCTTCCTTAATGAGATTGCTAATGAGTAAAAGAATGAAGAATATTAATAAATGCAATGGTAAAAGAAAAAAACAAATTAACTAATAAATTATGCTCACTTTTTTCTTCTTTTCCCCCTTAAGGGGAAAAAGATTTCAGAATATATCATATCTTTTTTTTATTCCTTAAGGGGAAGAAATGTAGAAAAGAAAATCAAACATCCAGCAACATCCATTGAGAAGCTCAGTAGGATTGGGAAATATATGTTTGAATGACATTTTTTATAAGAATTCAAGGTCTCGTTAAAAACCCCCTTCTTGATTAAAGGAGCTTGAAGGGAAACTCCTTAATCAGCGAAAGGAGGAAAATAGTGCCTTAGGATTTTATTGAACATAGAATACACATAAGATACAACCTGAAAACACTCTTAACAGAGACATATAAACACAACTCAACCTTACGACCCATAAACATCAACACTAATTCAACCAATTCATTCTTTAGCTAAGGCATCAACCTCTAGATTGGCTGTCCTATTTACCCATCTAACCACACCTTCTAATGCGTTAAGCCTATGAACAATGTCTTTAATCAAAAAAGCATAAACATCAGGACATAATTCAACCTCCTTAACCCAATCCACTGCCACTTTGCTGTCACTTTCCATAATCAAACGGTCATGTAGCCTCTCTCGAAAATCAGCATAGATTAACAACCCCTTTTGAATAGCTTTTAATTCCATAAAGGTCGGAGGCCCTGGACCAACCGATTCCTTGAAAGAACCTAAGGTAAATCCAGAGGAATCCTTTAAAATTCCTCCTAATCCGCTCTTCTTCCAATCCTTAGTAGTAGCTGTATCTACATTAAGTTTTACAAAACCCATAGGAGGAGGAGACCAAGGAAGAATAGATACTATCATATTAGGATGGAGAGAACAAGAGTCCCCTAAGGATGGATCTGAAATAAGAGAATCCTTCAGAATAGACACTCCTTTATGCTTTGCTAGGAACCAGGAAGCAAGCCTAAGCCTTGCTAAGAAGAAGAATTCAACCTTATCCAACTTCCCCCCTTCAAACACAATTAAATTCCTCATTTTCCAAGTGGTCCAAATAACGACCCCTGAAATGAGAGACCAAATCGGAGAATTAGTCTTCAAAGCATCCCAAGCAAGGAGAAAGCTTTTAGCATTAGTATGAAAGACATTCTTAATCTTCAAAAAGTTAAGGAATTTATTCCAAATAGACCACACCATCGAACAAGAGAAAAACAAATGCGAGGGAGACTCTTCCTCCATCTTGAAAATAGGGCATACCAAGTCTCCAATACCTAGAATTTCTCTTTTAACAAGTTATGTTTTAACTGCCAGCTTCTCTAGAACAACCTGCCACATAAAAGACTCTACTATTGGTGGAAACTAACCCCTCCAAATACTCTTATTCCAAAAATAGACCTCCTCTGATTGCAAAGGATCAGATGAACATAGATGAACACCAGATTTAACAGTGTACACCCCATCCGCAGAACCTTTCCAAATCATCCCATCAGAATTTTCCATAGATAGATAAAAAGTCGAGATGATAGCCAGCAAATCAGCTCAATGTTCTAGTTCCCAGTCATTTAAGTTCCTTCAAAACTGCACATCCCAAATCCAGCCAGAAAAGTTATACTCCCCAAATTCAAATAATTTGCCTGTTTTTTTGTGGAAATAGAAAACAATCTAGGGAAAATGAGCAAAAGAGGATAATCCATAGCCCAAATGTCCTGCCAAAACTGAATAAATTTGCCATCTCCAGCTAAAAAAGAACACATACTTCTCAACTTAGAGCCAATAAGGTCATCTTTATAATGGTTTTTAACCACGGATCTCCAAATCCAAGAAACTTTATCTAGGATCTTACTGTCAAACATTAATAAAGAAAGATCCAGATTATATTTGGAACAAATAAAATCCCTCCAAACAGACTCCCTTTCATTTGCATACCTCCAAGACCATTTTTCTAGGAGTGCTCTATTCATCAAGTTAAGATTCAGCATACCCAAACCCCCCTCCATCTTTGATTTGCATACATTCGACCAACTAACCCAGTGGATCTTATTTTTACCATTACCCCATCCTCATAAGAAATTAGACATAATGGAGTTGAGGGTTTTAAGAACCGAGGTTGGTATCTTAAATAATGATAAATAATAAGTAGGGAGCGAACAAAGAACTGACTTAATCAAAACCAATCTCCCAGCTAAATAAAGGGAGGAAGCCTTCCATCCTGCTAATTTTTTTTTAAAATTACTGACCACTGGATTCCAAATAGTAGCAGAATTCCTAATAGCACCCAAAGGAAGCCCTAGATAGTCAGAAGGGAAGCTACCAACAGAAAATCCAATAGGGTTTGCCAACTCATGAACTTCCTCTTCATTCAAATTAACACCAAACAATTTACTTTTCTTCATGTTGAGCTGTAAACCCGAAATCACTTGAAACACTCGAAGCACCCTCTTCACGTTTAGAATATGCATTTTCGAAGCACCACAAAAGATAATGAGATCATCTGCAAACTGCAAATGAGAAAGATTGAAAGACCCTTTATCCCTCCCAATAATCAGTCTAGAAAACAGACCCTGTGCAACAGCCTTTAAAATCAATAAATTGAGTAGTTCACCAACAAAATTAAACAACAAAGGGGATAAAGAACATCCCTGTCTAAGTCCCTTTTCCATAGAGAATTCCTCAGTAGGAACTCCATTAATAAGAACCAAAACTGAAGCAGTGGAAACACATTTTCTGATCCAACCTCTCCACCTGGAACCGAATCCCATTTTCTCCATTACTAGAAACAAAATATTTCAATCCACCAAATCATATGCTTTCTTGAAATCAGCTTTGAAAATACAACCCTTGAGTCCATTTTTTTTTTCAAAAACTTGACACCTTCATTGGCAATTAGAGAATAATCTAATATTTGTCGACCTGGGATAAAAGCAAATTGTGTAGGACTGATTAATTCTGAAATACAGTTCCTCAACCTCCTCGAGAGACACTTAGAGAGGATTTTATATAATCCACCAACTAAGTTAATAGGTCTAAAGTCATCAAGGTCACCACTGTTAGAGGCCTTAGGAATAAGAGTAATAAAGGTATGATTAATGTTATGTTCCCAATCTTTCCCCACATAGAAGTTATGAAAGAATTTCATAACATCTCCCTTAAGCACATTCCAAAATCTTTTGAAGAAACCTAGATTTAAACCGTCTGGCCCTGGAGCTTTGTTAACATTACAAGACTCTAAAGACTCCCATATTTCCTCTTCAGTGAATTCTTTCTCCAAACTCAAACTCTGCTCGAATGAAATACTGGAAAAATCCAACCCAATGTCTTCCACTTGTAAGGTAAATTGATCATTGAAAGCCTTAAAAAGTAATCTCTAACTGTTGACTTAATAACAATCGGGTCTTGAACAACATTGACGTTGATATGTAAAGCATTCAAGGCATTCATGTTCCTCCAAAATGTAGCACAGGTATGAAAATATCTAGTATTTCTGTCACCATCTTCAACCCACTTCGATCTAGAATTCTGAAACCAAATCTGCTTCTCAATCTTCAACATTAAAAAGTGATCTCTGACTGTTGACTTAATAACAATCAGGTCTTGAACAACATTGCCGTTGATATGTAAAGCATTCAAGGCATTCCTGTTCATCCAAAATGAAGCATAAGTATGAAAATATCTAGTATTTCTATCACCATCTTCAACCCACTTTGATCTAGAATTCTGGAACCAATTTTTCTCCTCAATCTTCAACAGCCTCCACAATTCTGTTCTTAACTTCTTCAACTCTTCTGTTTTCTCACCAATAGAACCATCTTTCACCTGTTGGACATCCACTTCTAGCTTTTGAATCTTTAATTCTAATTATGAAATCAAATCTCCTGGAAAATTATCTCTTCTCCCTGCCCTTTTTTATGGCAATTTTTGTTTTTTTTTCAGAATATTGAAAATTCCAGCATTCCTCCGATTTTCCTTACATTCTTGAATTGAATGTAAAGTCGGAAAAACTTGTTTCGAATAAATCATATTTATTTATGTCGAATATGGTTGACTTAAATAGAGTTTACAATGTAACAACTTTACATAAAAAGATGCATAAAATTAGCAACAGAATAAAACTGATTTTATCTAATTAAAACTGATCCTGTCTAATAACTAACAGAATAAAAATTGATTCTATCTAATTAAAATTGATCCTATCTAATAACTAACAGAATAAAATATCTAGTTAACAATCATAATATTTAATTTAGATATTCTCGATACCCCCTCAAGCTGGAGAATAGATATCGATCATTCCCAGCTTGGACATAAATCCTTCGAACATCGTAGTAAACAGTCCCTTGGTGAGAATATCGGTGAGCTGCTCTGATGATGGAACAAATTGTATGCATATATTGCCATTTTCCAGCTTCTCCTTGATGAAATGTTGATTTATTTCGACATGTTTGGTCCTGTCATGCTGTACAGGATTCTGAGCAATACTGATTGCCAATTTGTTGTCGCAATACAACTTCATCGATTTATCTCCTTCAACCTTCATCTCCTCCAAGATTCTTCTAAGCCATAACAGCTCACATACTCCTTGCGCCATGGCTCTGAACTCGGCCTCTGCACTGCTTCTAGAGACAACTGGTTGCTTCTTGCTCCTCCAAGTAACTAAGTTACCCCAGACAAAGGAGCAATAACCGGTGGTAGATCTTCTGTCTGTAGAACTTCCGCCCCAATCAGCATCAGTAAAGATCTCCACTCTTCGACTTCCATTCTTCGAAAACATGATTCCTTTACCCGAACTCCCTTTCAAGTAATGAAGAATCCGATAAACAACCTTGGAGTGTTTTTCTGAGGGACAATGCATAAATTGACTAACCAAGCTCACAGAAAATGCAATATCTGGTCTCGTATGAGCCAAATAAATCAGTTTTCCCACCAGCATCTGATATCGATTCTTGTCTACAGG